TTTTTTTTACTTCTCGTATGTTTTTAACTCCCCCCTCCCCCAATTCCTTTTCATTTAAATATTTCCTTTACCTGTTCCAAACACTCTTTTCAGGTAGCTGATGTTTCCCTGTATTGTTCCTTAGCTTTCTGTTGAAAAACTGCTATGTATACTCTTCCAACAATTGCTTCTTTTGCCTTTGGAAAGGAAAAAAATTATATATATATTGCTTATTGTCTGCTTTAGTACAATTTAAAAATTGTATACATACACACACACACACACACACACACACACACAATTTATATCGGCCTTTATTCTTCGTGTAATTTCTTCACAATTGGTGAGGATCTGTTTTCACATTCTGTGGGATTAGATTTTTGACCGTCGGTAACCCGATGCAGTTTCTACAGTGTTTTCAAATCAGTAGCTGCAAACAGGATGGATGGTTATTAGTGGGAGTGAGAGTGCATGAGATTCAGCTTCTCTAACGAAGTCTTTGTTTAAAAGTGTTTTTCTTTGCCATCTATCCATAAATTCAGTCTAATATAGACATAGTCTCCCTGTATGACAAAGCAGCAATGCTGAGCTTTCTAGGTCTTTCCTGTTATGCAGGAGCGGGGGTCATTAGGCTGTGGTGGGTCTTCATTTGGTGTCATAGGAACTTAGCATAGTTCTCAAATACTATAAAAACAGGAGTAGGAAACAACACGTTCTTATTTCCTCCGGTGAATGATCTTAAATTTGGCCAGGACATTGGCTCATTAGCTACTCTGCAGCTGGGGTTCTTTCTGTCTCAAAAATGAAAGGGTAGTGTGTAGAATTCTCTGCTACAGAAGTGTAGCTACAGTTCTGTTCATGTAGCTAAATAGGTTCTACCGTTTTGCCTCTTTAAAATTCTGTCATTGAGACTTATGATTATAATTTATGTAGAAAATATGACAGTGACAAGAAAAGTGAAAGCAGACAGTTGGTCACTTGACATTAATCGCATGGCTTGGGTTTGTTTTGAGTTGTGTTTTTAAGTGGCTGAATACGTTTCTTTAGATTCTGAGAGTGAACTTATGGAAATGTTTGAAAGTCTTTACTCGAAGTATAACAAGTGTTAGTTCTCAGAATCTGACTTAGCCAGCTATCCACTGTTGGTAGTCAGGTGTGAGAGAGCTCCCTCATGTAGCAATTGGTTGACTGTTTACAAAATGTACTGCTAAAGTAGGCAAAGCCGAACCAGGGCGAAGACTAGTTTTGCCAAATTCCTTGAAAAGAGGGAGCTATAAATGATAAAATAAGTCCTAGGGGCTAATTTTGGTTTATTCTTCATGCAAGCCAAGAGCACCTCTGGTGCAAATCTCCAGGTAATCAAATGAACCTAGTTTAGTGTTTTTTATATTATTTTGGTTTTTGATCCCTCTCTAAATATGGATAATCATACTTGCAGATAAAACACAAATGGCAAGGAATTAAGTAAAAATGCAAGGCATAGAATATGACTGGCTTCCAAATAAGACAAATAGACTGGGTAAGGACTATACCTTGCTCTGACTGCCAAATTTCAAAGCCAAAGTTCATTCAGAGTAAAAACCAGTGACTCTTCCAGAGACATTTATTGTTATCCATGAAGGAATTGGGGCAGCCTGAAGACCTTGCATTCTTGCAATATACATTGTATATTGTAATATTGTAATATACATTGTACATACAATGTATATACAATGTACATTGTAATATACATTACCAATATAGATTTTATACATGAAAGACTGCCATGACTTTATTCAGAAACAGGACTAATTTATTTGTTTTTGTGACAGTTCAAGAGCAACTCTACTTTTCTCATAATCTCTTGATTTTAATTACCCACATGTGTAGAACCCAATCAGAAAATTAAATTAATTCCCTCTATATTTAAATAACCTAGCCAGATTTTTTTTTCCTGTGCTTTATTGCATGCTGTTGAATAAAAGTGAACAATCAGTCCATCTCTCACACTTCTGTACATTGTGACAGCCTCCTTTTCAAGGTAAGATAAGTACAAGAATAAAAACTCAATAATCAAGCCCTAAAGGTACTGGGCTCATAATAAGTGTGGCATTTTACAGAGACATTTTACAGAGGCATTTACAGAGACATTTACAGAGACATTTTAATGAGGTTAATTTCATCATTTAACCAGAAAGAAGTTGTTAATTACTACAAGGGAATATTAAGACACTTGTAAGATTCAATGACAAACTGAAATGGTGGGACAGAACACAGTTAGTCTCGTAAATTGGTAGGTTTTCAAAATCCAGTCCCACATGGCCCTATAAAATGCAAACTTTGGTTTGAACCTTGTCATTCTTGAAAAGTCTCATCACAGTTAATGTATTAACATACTTACAGAAGTTTCTCTTTTGCTGTTTTAGATGCTAGCTAAACAATTGGAAGCTCTTGGCTTAGCCGAAAAGCCTCAGCTGGTGACTCGCTTTCTGGAAGTTTTCCGGTCAATGTGGTCCGTGAATGGTGATTCGATCAGTAAGATATACGCGGGCACTGGAGCCCTCGAAGGAAAGGCGAAGGTAGAGCTAGGTTTCTCCTGACATGACGAAAGAGCCTCATTTTCCTTTCAATGACACTTTTAAATGGTCTCTTTTTAAATTAACAGTTGGGCTTTTATAGGTGTCTGCTTCCAGTTCTGTTTTATTATCCTTCCGTGTCCTCTTTAATACTTCCTTCTGTAGCAGATACTAATGATTGGGTAGAAGAGAGTAATGTCCCTCAGCTTGGGGGGGTCTTACGTATGACATAGTCATTTGGTGATAATCCGTTAGGCCTACATATGTATTGCTTATATTTTGTTTCATGATTTCTCCTTACGTATCTGTTTCACTTTTTATGTTGTTTGTTTTGATTATAAAATTTTTAAAAGTCCTAGTCCTCCTAATAAGGGGTCCTCTGTCATTTGGCTTTGTGTTCCCAGCACTTGATATAGTGCCTACCATTTAATAGGATTGTGACAAATACTGGTGGGATGAATAAATCGGTGGACAATTTATGCCACACTTATTATGAGCCCAGTACCTTTAAGGCTTGATTATTGAGTTTTCATTCTTGTACTTATCTTACCTTGAAAAGGAGGCTGTCACAATGTACAGAAGTGTGAGAGATGGGCTTCCTCATAATTCTGTGCCTCCTCATTGCTTTTTAATATCTGGCATTATCAATACACTGCTTCCTACTCTAGTGTTTGGCACTTATTAAGAGACTTTGGAAACACACTTGAGATACTTTTCATTATTTTATATACTTAAATAGTGACTTTTTAAGGCTCCTGTTTTCAGTTGGATTTTATTAACATTTTAAGTCTCTACAATTCTTCAGATTACCTCAGGAATAGAAAATAAGGGCATTTGCCATTTTTATAATTCTGCCACCCCTACAGTACAGCAGCTGAAATTCTTTGAAGACCACTCATCATCTCTAAGTCTTTTTTTCCAAACCTTCCTCCTCTTCTGCGTCTCCTAAAATGGCATGTCTGTCTCTGTTCAGTTATTGGCCTTACCTGTCACAAATGATTTTGTTGACATTGACAAATATTTGCTTCTTAAATGGTCCCTCTTTTTGAAAACCTGAAATTGTTAAACCTCCTTTAGTACTCCTTTAAAAAAGAGAATATAATTCTTACTGTTAAAACTCGATTCTCTACAAGAGCTGCTTAAAATATTCTTTAATGCTCTTCCTTTTTGTTTCTGCAGCAGCCAAGACAGTATGTATACAGAGCTTATGTATATTTTCAGTGGTCTTGTGTCTCTAACTAATAGATGCGAATTCTCATGTGTTAAATATACTAGTCTGAACTGAACTAAGATCTAACATCTGAACTGCTCTTTCTTTTCCTTTCTCTGGGTTCCTTTTGGTTAATTGCCTGATAATATGAATGGTGAGTGTCTTTTCAAATACTGTCATTTGTATATGTCATCACGTGGAAGAAAATAACATTTTAATTTCCAAATTACTGTCACTTCTATAAGGGATGAAAATTACATATTGCAAATGAAAGGGTTTTTTTTAAAGGCCAGAGTTTGGTGTTTTGTTTTGTTTTTTCAACAGTCATCCAGATCTGTAAGATCAAAAGAAATCTTCATGGTGACTAACACGCCTAAGTAAACTATATGTTCATTAAAAGTTATGATCAGGAAATGCAGGCTTCCGGTTATGGGAATACGTCACGGGAATGAAAGGCACAGCATAGGGAATATAGTCAATGGTATTGCAGTAGTGTTGCATGGTGACAGATGGTTAGCCACACTGGTGGTGAGCACAGCTCAATGTATAGAGTTATCTAATCACTGTGGTGTGCGACACAAACTAACGTAACGTTGGGTGTCAGCGATACTAAAAAAGAAGTTATAATCAACTCACTGGAGGAATTGGCCTGAGTTTATTATTTTTATGATTTGTATTTACATCGGCAATAAAATGAGCTAAGATATACGAACTGTAGTTCACATTTAGTATTTATTTATGAACTATAATTATAAATTTCTTTTTAGGCCAACCCTTCATTATTAGGTTCAGTTTTAGTTTTAACTACTAGTATAAGTTATTGAGGAGCGATTCCAGTCTTATTTTTCTACACGTTATTTTTCTACTGTCGAAGTACTTGGAAGTTTTTCTAAGAGCATGTGAGTGGACTGCATCTTCCTTGATCTCCCCTGCGGCCCCCCCACCCCCAGTCCCATCCTTAGTGCTATAGGTTACAATGTAGGAAGTAATTTCCTTGTTTTAAGTAAGTACATGTCACTTCATTTCCTTTCTAGTAAGCAACGTTAGACATTTACTGCTCTTGATGTTATTAGTGAATGCGTTTGTGGTACTGAGCTTTTTCCACGTTTTTGTGCAGAACTGTTATCCAGAAGGAAAAGAAACAAAGGCATCTTGAGCCATTTTGATATGATGATTTGATACTCAAAGTAGAATGATTAGGTCCTTTTTATTGCAGTAAGGTCAGATAAAACTGATTTAAACTTTCAAAATGCCTACTGAATAAAATCAACAATATTTGGAACAAAAATCCATGCTCTTTTCTTCCCCAACAGGCTGGAAAGTTAAAAGATGGTGCTCGTTCTGTTACTAGAACGATTCAGAATAACTTCTTTGACAGCTCCAAGCAAGAGGCCATAGATGTTTTACTACTGGGAAATACTCTAAATAGTGACTTAGCTGACAAAGCTCGAGCACTTTTAACTACCGGAAGTTTGCGCGGTATGCGTACTTTGTATTTTGATTACTTTATGTTATTTATATCCCTTCTAATAGTCCAAGGAGTAACTGTAAATTTATTTACATAAACATTTTTTAGATCAAGTTGATTAAAACAGTTTGTGGAGGAATTTCCATCGATGTAATTTTTAAAAATTGCATTCTCTAAAGGAAGTTCATCTCTTTGGAAATGTTTTATCATCAGTGGTATTACTAAGCTGTAAAATGAGGCCCATGCAAGGCAGGATTTCATAGAATATTCAGCTAGTGCTTTGAATAGAGCATTCACTACCTAGTTATGTAGACAACAGTTGCTTTATTCAGAAAAACAGTGCCTATATTAGTGATTTTGCTAATTTCCAACCCCAAATTTCTATAACTTGGTCTTCCCTTACCTTGCTATTGTTTGAATGAGCATTAAATCATATTAGACAATAATTTAGAATATTGCTTATTTTTAGACACTATTTAATATGAGACATAAATAGGGGCGCCTGGGTGGCGCAGTCGGTTAAGCGTCCGACTTCAGCCAGGTCACGATCTCGCGGTCCGTGAGTTCGAGCCCCGCGTCGGGCTCTGGGCTGATGGCTCAGAGCCTGGAGCCTGTTTCCGATTCTGTGTCTCCCTCTCTCTCTGCCCCTCCCCCGTTCATGCTCTGTCTCTCTGTCCCAAAAATAAATAAACATTGAAAAAAAAAAATATGAGACATAAATATATGGCTTTCAAGGTGGCTTTTTAACTTTCACTGAGTCTTTTATTAAAATCCAAAGAAGTTGAGCTCCTGTCAGTGTGTGTGTATTTAGCATCATCATGGGAAAACTCAACATGCACTGTAGAACTTAATGAATTGACTTCCTTAATTCCGTATTTTTTCTGTCTTCACTTTTTTTTTTTAGCACTCTGAACATTTTTACTTCTGTTATCCCCAACCAAACCTTACAGTTTCCCTGTGCGTGTTAAGAGAAATTGTTCCTCATCAAATAATGTATTCTTGGATAATTACTTGGTCAACTAGGTTATCATGGATTCTTTCAGAATTGTGCATGGTGCTGTGGGTAGTTGGGTACAGTTGGCTCCTTGGGGATCGAGGCCCCGGGGACTGAGGCCTACTAGAGCTCTAAAAAAACAAAGTCTGATCTTAGCTACCACTTTTAACTTCAGGCTTTCTTCCTGGCTCCCAGCACTAGAGACTTGGCTGATTTGCATCTTGCCACTTCCTTCCACCTATGCCTTCTTTGATATGGAGGCATTGCTAAGCAACAGTTGAAAGTAAGCAACTGAAGGAAAGAAAAGGAGAAGCGAGGAGCTTAAGAATTCCCAAACCTGATTATCAGTTTTTTTAGTTGCCTGCACATGTTACTGTGTGTCAAAAGCGCCTAAAAAAAAGTACAGTCAGTTCTGCTCTAATGCTTGTTCTGAGAATGGGAATTTGTTCCACCGTGGACGCTCTGTTAGGGAACATTTTGAGCATAATGCCAGTTCTGCATTCCTTTATGCATGGTCTCACCCGGCAGAACTGAGACGGGTAGAAATACACAAAACACGCACACACATGTGCATACACTTCAGACCTTTCTCTGCTTCCATTCACCAGATGTGTTATGAGACATACCCGTTCACACCTGGTGTTACAAGTTTCCATCCCAATTCCAGAAGACCCTTCTTCCATCATTCACAACTACAGTTGACCCTGGAACAACACAGGGGCAGGGACACTCACCCCCCCCACAGTCAAAAATCCATGTATAGCTTCTAATTCCTCAAAAACTCACCTACCAATAACCTGTAGACCAGAAGACTTACATAAACAGTTGATTAACACATAATTTGTATGTTATGTGTATTATGTACTGTAATCTTACAGTCAAGTAAAGTGTTAAGGAAGAGAAAATATGTTTGGAGTACTGTATTTACCAAAAAGGAATTCACGTATAGGTGGGCCTGTGCAGTTCAAACCCGTGTGTTCAAAGGGTCGGCTTACCTGTCAGCTGCCATTCTCCTCATGCCCACTTCTACAAGCAAACTTCAGGTCTTTTTCATGACGAAGTGCCATATTTAAGGAGTATTCAGACACCTCAAGCCATTTAACATCTGAAACCGTACTACTGTTTTTACTAGGGTCCCATCTGTTTTGGAGTGTCACTGCTAAAATTTGGGAGTGTTGTCCCCTAACCCCATTTTCCCCATAAGCTCTGTGGCTATGGGAATCTGTATGGTTTTGCACTGCATGGTGATTTTTGTGGAATGCGTATGTTTTGTTACAACTGAACTGATTGTACTTAATCAGCCGAGTCCCAGAAAGAATACTAGAAGATGTATATTAGGGTCCTCATGTGTTCAATACCCTCTAACCCCTTGGGTTTCTAGATTCATATTCTCTCTCACACGTATGTGGGTGCACACACACACACACACACACACAGACACACAGGAGCAGCTTGAAAAACAGGCCAAGGACCTCCTGATTGTGACACTCTGGACATCACTGAGTCACTGTAGGATTTTTCATAGATGCAGAGGGTTTGCGTCAGGTATTGTCACTTATTTTTAATCTCTGGTGTCTTATAGCCCTCAGAAAAAATAATCAAATTGATGTAAAAGAAAAAAGCGAGGCCATCTTAGAATGTATTGTCATAACACTCTAGATTTTAATTGTAACTTGTTGTTTTACTAATGATTCTTTGTTTTCTTCTTGATGCATCCATAGTTTCTGAACAGACATTACAGTCAGGTACAGTATAGAAAACCAATCTGTAAATAAAAGCAAATTTGTCTTTATTTTTCTGAAGTTGATATTGTAAATCGACAAAGCCGTATAAATGGAAACTTTCTCTTATTTTGCCCTCAGTTTCTAATAGGATAAATTAATACCTTGTTTGAATCTGAGAAAAAAATGTTTAAGTTTGAGAAAACAAAGTACTTCGTTTAGGAGAAAATACATAATGCTGCCTGTCTTCTTCTAGTAAATGCTTAATTCTAATTAAATATAGCTCATCCAGTTTTAATTTCACCTTTATATTTCAATGAACACACATTGTTAGTATTATACCTTACTTTTACTAGGCTAATGGTAAAAACCCCAGTGTGACTATTTTGGATTAATTTCAGAGTACTACCTGTGATATCTATCAGCAGTGTTTCTCACATAGTATTTGAAAAACAATGACTTATTTTTTCATACTGTAGATGAAATATTTTCTGTAACTGTAAGACACGCACTAAAATGTGATCTGAACTCTTTTAAAAAGCGTCAAAATTGGTAACAAAGTTAGAGTAAGTGATTCGGACCTAAAGATCGTTATTTTTCTTGCCTTTCCTATTCGTAAGAATCCTATGCCTTCATTTTCTGGACAAGGTTTATGAACTTGTCCTTAAACATGGACATGTGGCAAAAGGAACAAAAACGGCCAAACGGCAAAATTTCTTGCCAGAAATTTATCGGAAAAAGACATCTTTTCTTCCTTTTACTGAAGATTTGGTACCTTAAGATTTGTTTTGCTTAGTTACTGTTCTGAACGTTTTGAGAAACTATTGGTTATTTTTGTGAAAAGTTTGGAAGAGGAGGGTACTTGGATGTATTTTGAGTTATGTAATGAAATCCATTTTCTGAAATGATATGGCATTTGGGAATGGACATCTGTTTGAACACGGGCTCATTTCTGCACATTGAGGTGCCAACCAGTTAAGAATAAGCTAGAAAATTTTTACAACTTTTTATTCCATTTATAAACCGATCTGACTTAATTCACACAACATGGCCGCATGTTTTCACACAATTCATTATTTGTCTTGCTGAGTATTTTGGCTGTTAAATCACGATAGAACTTGTATTTTGATATAGAGTGGATCACAGAGGCTGTTTTCATAGTAGGAACAGTGGCAGTGATTTCACTTACAAAGACCATGTCATGGAGAATGATGCGTTAGGTACGGCCAGCTTCCAGTTAACCGCACCAGCAGACCAGAACAAACCATGTGCTTTCATTACCACCTGACACCTTATACGAGCAGTCACATCAAATAGGAAGAGGGCTACAAATCTGCGTGTCTGCTCCTGGGAGCAGCAGGCATGACCTTATCCACATCAGCAGTTCCCTCAGGAGATTCACGGGTCACACTGTTTTCCTTGTGATACCATAATCTGCCTTTTTACTCTAATTCTCTTGTGTATCTTGGTACCCTAAAACAATAAATAATAATCAAATCGTGTATTAAAAGGTGAGAATCATTGTGATTTCCTTTTCCTCTTGCCAGTTAGTTGCCAAGTAAGTGTTTATTCGGTTTTTAGATTGAGGTCCTATTAAGGTTCTAGCCACGTTAAGTGCCAAAAATTTAACCAAAGAGAAGTGTGATTGAGAAGGAAGCTAGATGGTGGTCAAAAAGTATGCATGTAAGAGACTGAGGGCCCAAATGTATTGAGCATTCATTTAACAGTGATGTGTCGAGCACCTACTGTGTCCCAGACACTGTTCTAGTCACTGGAGATAATGTAGTAAGCAAAAGAGACCACCGTTTCTGTCCTCAGGAGCTTCCGTTCTTGAGAGGGGAGACAGACAGTTACGGGATAAGTAAATAAACACAGAGTTTGTAAATGGTGACAAATGCTATAGAGAAAAATAAAACGAGGAAAGGATATGGAAGGTTAGGGACAATGCAAATTCTAGTAAGATGGTCAGGAAAAGCCTCACTGGGAGGAGGTGAGGGAAGAAGGTCTCGGGCTTTGGAAACGGTCCGTGCAGAGGCCTTGTGGGAGCAGGCTGGCATCTTAGGGAGACAGCAGGGAGTCAGCAGCTGAGTGGCGAGTGAACAGGGAAGAGGTAGCAGATGAGGGCAGAATGGCAATGTGGATTGTGTCAGGCCTTGCAGGCCATTGTTGCGGACTTCAGCCTCTGTCTGCGTGAGTTGGGAGGGATCTCATAGTGACTTCAGTCTCCGACATCTCGTTATCGTCCATAATTAGTATTTTTGTCCGGGAGCCATTCCTTCTCAAACCACCTGTCAGTAGTTAGAAGCTTAAATGTAAATGTTCTTAAATCTTTTTGTTTGGAAATAAGATTTATATTTTCACCAGCCTTCAAACTAAAGTTATACGAAAGTCAATTGCTATGTCCCTAAAAATGTATAATCTCTAGTTTTGTACATTATAAGATGATGTACCCCTTCATGGAAAAAGAACTGTTCTGCATGCTTTATGTTGCCGCAATAATTTTTACTTCGGCTATTGTATCAAGTGCCCGTTGTTTTCAAAAATTGTGTTGGTTACTTGCATCGTGCTGGACTGTGCATGTATCTTATGCTTGTTTATGCTGCTGCTGCCAATTGTACTTGCCCTGCTTCGTTTCTCAGGTATAAAAATCGATTTCTAAAAGTGGTTTCCCGCAGCTAAAACTCCGTGGTGTTTTGTTTTTGATTAGCATCTTCCAAAGTACTAAAGAGCATGTGTGAGAATTTCTACAAGTATTCAAAGCCCAAGAAAATTCGGGTATGTGTTGGAACCTGGAACGTGAATGGTGGGAAGCAGTTTCGCAGCATAGCTTTTAAGAATCAGACGCTCACCGACTGGCTTCTTGACGCGCCCAAGTTAGCTGGCATCCAGGAGTTTCAAGGTTTGCTTTTTGTAACAGGGATTCACCTAATAAATCCTGTGACTTACTAATCTATCAAACAAATGTGACACTTCATAATATGCCTTACTCTCAAAAAGAAACTTGGCTTTGTAAGTATGAAGGCCAGACCTTTAAAGGTAACTACACAAGGAAGAAAAACTAGTTCTGTTTTTATTCTTTTAAACTGACACACAGCAAGCTTATTTTGTGAGTGGTAATTTTTTAAACCTAGTATGTTCCATTTTTCAAATCTAGTTCGCTGTTTAAGCAGGTAAGAAATATTCAGGGTAGATTAAGAAAAATCTTTCAAAACTTGTTGTAACACGTGTTGGCACTTGATAATTTAGCGGTACGGATTTTTCCTTATAAAACCTTGGTCGTCATTCGGCCACCAAGCTCTTAACAGCCCGGACCAAGCACTGAGCTGATGATGCTTTTAAGATTTTAATTAGGATTATGAATGTGGGGCCTTCTTCTTTGTTTTAAAGTCACTTTGAATTCCTTTCTAAAATAGTACACATCTAGCATGTATCATGAATAAAAGCGAAGTGCAGGGGTACCTGGGTGACCCAGTCAGTTAAGCATCTTGACTCTTGATTTCAGCCCGGGTCATGATCTCATGGTTTGTGAGCCCACGTTGAGCTCTCCCCGGTCAGTGCTGTCTTCTCTCTCGTTCTCAAAAATAAATAAACTTAAAAAAAAAAGTACATAGGAAAAAATGTGAGATGCAGATTTTCTTTTTTTAGTTATCTCTAATCAGTCACATCTCAGACCCTAAGGTTTTCCCCAGACTTTTATTGAAATGATCTTTTTCACTTACATTGAACCTACCTTGAAATTATAGTTGTTGTTGTAGTAGTGATAATATTAGAGTAGCAGCTAACACTACAGTTCTCTAAGTACTTTACATCTATTCATTTATTTCCTGTAACAGACCTACTGCACAGATACTATTATTATTCCAATTCCACAGATGAGGAAACTGAGTCACAGTAAGGGAGGCAACCTGCCCAGGCTCACGCAGCCTGGTTGGTAATGGCAAGTCAAGATTTGAACTCAGGCAGTTTGGGTCCAGCATCACTGGGTCACACTGTGGCTTGTCTGGGAATTTGGGCAAGTTGCTTAGGTTCTCCAAAGCCTCAGTGTCTTGTCTGTACTAAAGGGTAAAAATAATCTGTCTTCTAAAGTGCGTGGTAAACGAGTTGATGCGTGTATAATCCTTGCACGTAATAGCAGTCAATAAATATTTTTGTTATTTTTCTCAGTCTAATACTATTTATAGGCCCTTTCTAGCTACTTCTCCTTTCTGAGTCCTTGGCCACCCAAGTCCCCCTGGGCCGCTTATCTCAAGTAGCTTCTGTTCTCTTTTCGTCCTTGTCTATTAGGAGAGAGCTAATGGCTGGAACAGAGGGGTACATCTTAACCCCTGGATCTCTTTTAATTTTCTTGGATTCTTCCACGTAGGACATAGTAAAAAGGTCAAGCCTCTAGTTTTCAAATTTGAATGTGAAAATTCCTGTGTGTTACCTTTTAATTGGAGATGATTTCTCAGTCACTTTGTGCCTTTTCTGAAGAATCCCTTTACTCCCCCTTTTATTCTCTTCAGCTTTTGCAAAGTGGCTTGCTTCTCTGACGCCCATGTGCAGTTTAGCAAGAGTTCTTTCAAAACGATTTCTGAAAGGACTTAAGGATCTTCAGAAATAACAGTCTTAAAGAAGAAAACTTAGGAGGCCTGAATGGAAGCTAAATTTAAAGTAATTTTGTCCCATTCGTTGGTTTTGCCTACAATTTGAAGTTGGTTAAACATAAAACACAGAAATGGACTTTATGAGGTCTGGCATTGATCTTAGTTGGACTGGGTGGGGGCGGGTGCCGTTTGACTAAAGCTATATTTTTAACAGTTTTTCTTGGATGCTTAATTGTAGATAAAAGAAGTAAGCCAACTGATATATTCGCAATTGGTTTTGAAGAAATGGTAGAGTTGAATGCTGGAAACATTGTGAATGCAAGGTAAGCCGGTAAGGTCATTTTCTAGTTGAGGGACATGGAAGGCAGATAACTAAGTAGTTGTTACAAAGATAGATTGGGAGAATATATGTAAAGTTGCTTTTTAAACTGTAAAATAGAATTCTCAACCTCTCTGGTCTTAGGATCTTTCTACACTCTTAAAAATGTTGAAAATCTTAAAGAATTTTTGTTCATGTGGGTTATATCTCTAGATAGTACATTAGAAATTTAAAAATGAAAATTTCAAAACATTTAATTCTTTAAAAAACAATAAGCCTATTACATGTTAGCATAAATAACACATTTTTTTCCTGAAAAGTAGTTATTTTCCAAAACAAAAGTGTCCTGAGAAGGTTGGCTTTGAGTGTAGTTTTGCACATCTTTTCATTTCTGGCTTAAAACAACTGAATTCTCACATCTACTTCTGTATTAGTCAGTTACAATGTGTTGTTTTGCTTGAAGTAGATGAAGAAAATCACATAAATAACGTAGTTGGAAATGGAAAGAATTTTATAGCCTTTTGAGATTTCTTCTCTGATACTACACCAAAGCTCAACAAACAGTTCCTTAAAGGTTAGTTCAGGAATCTGGACTAACCTTATGGAATCTGAAACCATAGCAATGAACTATTTGTGCTCTATTATACAAGAATTCATTGGTCTATTTTTTTATCCTTGCGTGATTTTGAAACATCATGTATTGGTCATTTTGAAAATATTAGTTCACTGAGTTATGTCAATCTTCCAAATCTTGGCACATTTCATTATATCAATGCATGATATTGATTAGCCTCATTACTGATCTCATCAGCAAATTCTTCAAATGTTTGGAAGCTATTAAGTTCTCAGTAGCAGATACACATTTTCCAAAATTTTCATTTTTGCTTGAAAACTCAAATGTAATCATTGGAAATAAATACTATTGGTTGTTTCCCTTAAAAGGCAGGTTCATTTAAAAAAATGTTTGTCAGATAACCCAAGTCTGAAGAACCATAGTCTGTCTGTCATTAGTCCTTTCAAATAAAAATGGTTTTCCGTGAAAAATGGTAGCAGTTCAGCTCTCTGCTCAAACAACCAAGTGCTTCTCCAAACATCACACTTCCATATGAAGCAGAATGGGCCTTGTGCATATTTCCTGTTCATCACAGATATGACTTAAGGATTGAGCTTTGATCAGATTAATGACATTTAGAAAACGATTAATAACATTTCCTGCTTCAACAGAGATATTCTTATGTGAAATGGCATTTTTTTTAACTCCTAGTACATGGCGGTAAAGACTAATGAATCATCCTAGTACAGTTCGGTGCTGGATTCATGTGAAGACGTCAGCCATTTTACTCATTGTTACTTTTGCACCATTGTGCAAATATCCATCCACATCGTGAAAAAGGCAAAAAAAGGTCTTAGTATTATAAAGATAGTTTTGACCTCATGGGTTTGGGAGAGTCCCAGAGGTGTTCCCAGACCACACTTTGAGAACTGCTGTTCTGAAGCCTTATTACAAATGCAAATTACTTAAATGGAACTTAAAGCTTAAGTGTTTTAAGAAAGTATGCTTGCTTTTAAAGTTGAGCAATTGCCCATCTTTTGTGACATTTTTAAAAAGATTTTCAGAGTAAAATTATGAGCTGAAATAGTATGAGATAGTCATCGATCTTGCAAATGACATTTTTTTCCTTAGCTTTATTTTTTTAATTTTTTTTTAAATCTTTATTTATTTTTGAGAGAGAGACAGCATGTGAGCAGGGAGGAGCAGAGAGAGAGGGGGAGACACAGAATCCGAAGCAGGTTCCAGGTTCTGAGCTGTCAGCACAGAGCCTGACGTGGGGCTCAAACCCACGAATTGTGAAATCACGACCCTCATGAGCCAAGGTCGGATGCTTAACCGACCGAGCCACTCAGGCGCCCCTTTCCTTAGCTTTAAGTAAATAACATTCACTCAGGGAAGTAGAAGAGAAACGCAACTGCATTCATTTTGCTGATTTGAATCTCTTTCCTGAAAATACATATTCAGGTTTTAAAATAGAGCATACTCTTATTGTTCCTGGTACCAAATTGTTCAATTGATTATCTGTCTAGAGTTTAATCAAATTATTCCTTAGTAAACTGGTGATTATTTCATTTCTTTAACCAGTATCTGTTGAGCACCTACTCGAGGTGCTAAAGATACATTAATGAATAAAACAAAAATCCCTACCTTCATGAACCTTCTATTCTAGCTGAAGAGACAGATGATAAACAGTAATTGTAACATGTAAATTACCGGCATGCCTCGGAGATACTGTGGGTTCAGTTCCAGACCACTGCAGTCAAGCAGATATGGCAACAAATCTAGTTTGGCTTCTCCGTGCATACAAAAGTTAAGATTACCCTATAACAGACTGTGCAATAATAACATTATGTGTAATAGACAATGTACACATCTTAAGTAAAAAGTACTTCACTGCTAAAAAATGCTAATCATCATATGAGCTTCCGGCTGGTCATAATCATTGATCGCAGATCACTGTAACAAATATAATGAAAATGAAAAAGTGTGAAACGTTATTAGAATTATCAGAATGTGATATGGAGACATGAAGTAAGCAAGTGCTGTTGGAAAAATGACACTGATAGGCCTGCTTGACACAGGGTTGCCACAGAGCCTCAGTCTGTCAAAAACAGAGTATCTGGGAAGCATAAGCAAGCAAATCACAATAAGACAAGGTATGCTTCTATGTGGTGTGATAGAAGACGGTAAATGGACCAGAAAATAAACAGAGGTAGAGGGCATCAGGCACGTGGAGTTGCGGGGCTGGGGGGCGGCTTGAATGAATGATCAGGGTAGGGTTCCTAGAAGATGACCTGAGAAGTAAGCTGGATAAGGAGATGAAAAGCCATCATTCTCTTTTCAGAATCCGAGTTGCGGTGGGGGGATTCTGGTAGGTAGAGAATCCATGTGCTGGCTTTGTATTTTGGAGGTGGTGTGGCGGTGTTAGATTAGATAAATGGGCGTGGTGTCATGTTCAGGCTTACCACTTACCGTGTGTGTGACCTGGAACTATGAGAGACACTCCTTTAGAGTTTCTTGGGGGTTCTTCGGAGGCTCAAACTTACTACACTGAAAATTTATAAAGACTTCAGCATTTATGCTACCTTCTTTGTATGAACTGTATTTCAGAGAAAATAGTTGAGAAAAATTCTTTATAGAGGAATTCTAACTTAACTACAAATGCCTATGGAATGCTGAAATTATAACATCAACATCACGCAACCCCTGATGAAATAATGGCAATGATCGGTAGATGCTAAAACCTTAGAAGGATTAACGGGGGGACTTTTCATTATAAAGACTTGATTAGAGGGGCACCTGGATGGCTCAGTTGGTTAAGCGTCCGACTTCGGCTTGGGTCATGATCTCACAGTTGGTGAGTTCAGGCCCCATGTCGGGCTTTGTGCTGACACCTAGGAGCCTGGAGCCTGTTCCAGATTCTGTGTCTCCCTCTCTCTCTCTGCCCCTCCCCCATTTGCACTCTCTCTCTCTCTCTCTCTCAAAAATAAATAAACATTAAAAAAAAAAAAAAAAAAAAAAAAAAAAAAAAAAGAGTTGATTAGATTGCCACAGTCTGAACAGTGGATCCCGTGTCACAGCACAGAGATTATGTACTTCTGCTTTGATGCAAGTCTGACTGCACTAACCATGAGGTTATTTTTGCCAAAACAAATAAATAAATTTAAATGAGTTTCTTAAGCTTCTGCATTAACCAGTGTAAAGTAAATATGAGAGTTAGAGGGACAAGTGAAGATACTATGAAGACACATCCGTCAAATCCAGACTGTTGAACATTTTACGGCAAATGGCCCAAGTTCTTTAAAAAATAAATAGTATTTGAAAGGGGATGAGGTGGGGAGGGTTGAGGGACTATTAAAGATTCAAGAGATATAACAAGCAAATGCAATGTGTGGGCCCTATATGGATCCTCTTTTAAAGAAATCAACCACGAGAAGACATTTTTTTAGATAATTAGGGAAATTTAAATACGAACTGATAGTGTTAAGGAATTGTGTGATGATGACATCGTGATTATGTGAAAATAAAAATGCCCATTACTTTAGATGATGTGTAGTGAAGTATGTATGGGTGAAATGGCGTGTGTCTTGGGCTTTGGTTTAACACATTCTAGGTCCACGCGTGCGAACACGCGCGCGCACACGCGCGCGCACACACACACACAAAGTGGGGGAGGGGGTTGGAAGAAAAAAATGGCAAAATGTTGATAATTGTTGAAGCTAGGTAATAAGTAGAGGAAAAAGCACAGCTTGAGATTACTCAAATGGTGAGCACTTGTTTCATAAGTAAGCTCAGGTTTTCTTTGTGAAAGAGTAATAGACTTGGAAGCGTGGCGATCTTTTGGCTAAATTTCAGGCTTTTCTTTTTAAAGGAAACAAAAACAGCTTACAGAAAGATGTCAGTGTTGGTGTGGATTTCGGGACTGTTGGTAGAATTACTAAATTTGGGTATATAAAGATGTAATTGACAGTTGTCTTGTAAAATAGGCTATTTTGTCCTTATCTTTTAAAAGATTCCCTTTGTAATGTTTTCTGGTAGCACAACAAACCAAAAGCTCTGGGCTGTGGAACTGCAGAAGACCATCTCCAGAGACAACAAGTATGTGCTGCTGGCTTCTGAGCAGTTGGTGGGCGTCTGCCTGTTTGTTTTTATCAGACCCCAACACGCTCCCTTCATCAGGTCAGTGACCAGGGCGCTGTACGCAGGCTCTTTCCCACCCTCGAGTAGCCAGAAAAAGACCTGGAATGTGTGTTGCTTCAGGGAAACAATTACTCACGCATCTTGTTCTTAAATGTGTTTTTGATGAAACAGTCACCGGTCATTCCGTCACACCGTCTCACAGCCTTGTCCTTGAACTACCGCTGTACGTTTGTGTCCTAGACCTTCCTAATGTCTTATGCGCACAGAACTGTGTTGGCAGCTCGGATCTTGGACTCAGAGTCCTTTGTTTTAAAGGGACGTTGCGGTCGACACCGTGAAGACCGGAATGGGAGGCGCCACTGGAAACAAGGGGGCCGTTGCGATACGGATGCTGCTGCATACAACCAGCCTCTGCTTCGTCTGTAGCCACTTTGCCGCGGGCCAGTCCCAAGTCAAAGAAAGAAACGAAGATTTTGTAGAAATAGCGCGGAAGTTGAGTTTTCCAATGGTGAGCTCATACTGCTTGTTCTTGAAGATGAAGCTACAAGGTGCACTTTAACTTGCTCCAAATTCTCTGTCAGCTTTTGAAAATTTAAGATACTTCTTAGAAACATCAACGATTTTCACCTAAATAGATGCTTCGTGTGTTCTCAGTCTGGGGCCAGATAAACAGGGCCTGGCTGGCGGGGGCGGGGGAGCGGCGAGCGTACCTGAGGCAAAGAAATAGCGGTAAAACACGTTTCATATTGACCGTTTAGATCTAAAATGCTTCTCCTTGCCTCCAGGGAAGGATGCTGTTTTCCCACGACTACGTATTTTGGTGTGGTGATTTCAACTATCGCATTGATCTCCCTAATGAAGAAGTGAAAGAGCTCATAAGACAGCAAAATTGGGATTCTCTTATAGCAGGAGATCAGCTTATCAATCAGAAAAATGCTGGACAGGTATACACATACTTGCATTGAGAAGAAGAGGATCTTTTGTTATGCAACATGCTTTCCTTACTCACAGTGTTGCCTTTTTTAAAATCCCTTGGAGTCTATACTTAACTACGTATCTCTAGTTTAATAGATATAGAATTACCTTTCCTTAAAGACAGAAAAGAAAAAAGGAAGATTCATAATAACTCCCAGGAGGAAAAATATATTAAGTCTCTGTAAGACTCACTTTTTTTTTTTTTAAATGTTTATTTATTTTTGAGAGAGAGAGATGAGATAGAGTGCAAGCAGGGGAGGGGTAGGAAGAGAGGAAGACACAGAACCTGAAGCAGGCCCAGAGCCGTTGGCACAGAGCCTGACGTGGGGCTCGAACTCAGGAACCACAAGATCATGACCTGAGGTGAAGTCAGTCGCTTAACCGACTGAGCCACCCAGGCGCCCCAAGACTCTCTTTCAAGTAGAAGAGAATACATTTTTGATTGTTTCTTTTTGAGTAATAGTGAATTTAGAATCTTAGTCTTCAAAGCTACTGTTTTTTTTAATGTTTATTTATTTTGATAGAAAGTGAGAGAGAGAGAATGAGCAGGGGAGGGACAGAGAGAGAGGGAGACAGAATCTGAAGCAGGCTCCAGGCCCTGAGCTGTCCGCACAGAGCCCGACGTGGGGCTCGAACTCACAGACGGCAAGATCATGACTTGAGCCAAAGTCAGACGCCCAACCGACTGAACCACCCAGGCACCCAATATTTTTTTTTAAGTAAGAGGTGATTAAGGCCACTTGATATCATGCCTTCATGATCATCTGACTTAAATTCTAACACTTTGGGCCCCACTTCACATTTTAGGCCTTATTGCCTCATTTGAGAGTAAGACATCAGACTATATATATGATTTCTAAAATCTGTCATAGTTTTGGTTTTTGTAGCTTAAAGGTCTGGTAGAGTTCCCTTATTCACATTTTTGTACTTTGCTTAATCAGAGGTCAAATAAGTGGCATGAACAAGTCCCAGGTTATTTTTTCTTACCATTTGTTCCATTCAGTTAGAAGTGTTCATCTGATGGACACAGATTTTGTGTGAATCTCCAGCATATAGTAGACATGTAGTGAATGGCTGCCTGAATGAAAACAGAACTTGTTTTCTAATAACTTACTTTATATGTTTATTTTAGATTTTTAGAGGATTTTTAGAAGGAAAAGTTACCTTTGCTCCAACATACAAATATGATTTGTTTTCTGACGACTATGACACCAGTGAAAAGTGCCGCACCCCTGCGTGGACAGACCGTGTCCTCTGGAGAAGAAGGAAATGGCCTTTTGATAGATCAGGTTGGGAAATGGACTTCTTCATTTAAATGAGCTAATGCAAATTTTATGAGGAAGAAGGGAATGATACAAATATCAAGGGAGGAGGGCTGTTTTTTTTTTCAACAAAGGTTTGCTAGAATAGAATAAATAAAATTTAAATATAAAACAGTTTTTAAAATATTCTCAGACTTGCTTATAATAATTTAATTTTTTAGTGTATTTTCTTTCCATAATTCCATATAAAGAGAAGTGAGGAAATTTCATTTTTATGAAATTTCAATGAAAATTTCAATTGAGTGCTAACGAAGGTTTTTAATTTGAATAACCAATATGGTTTGTAAATATTATGAACTGCTACTTGTCTGTTGAATTACTTATGAAACACTATTTGGCTTTTAAGTACTCTCAGAAATAAAGCCTTATCTTAATTTTTACTAAGTAAAGCATAAAGTGATAATTCAACCAAAACACCTTTCTAACTTAAAGGTATCTGGACTTCCTGCCGATTAACAAGTGTATCAGGGATCCCAGCCTCAGACAACTGAAGCCAGTAAAGTGAAGAAGCTTGCTCCTTGCTCCCCATGATCTGTCACGCGCCTGTGGTTTTATTTTTGTTTTTGTTTCATTCTGATTGCAGCTGAAGATTTAGATCTTCTAAATGCTAGTTTTCAAGATGGAAGCAAAATCCTCTACACGTGGACTCCTGGCACTTTGCTGCATTACGGAAGAGCCGAGCTAAAGACTTCTGACCACAGGTTTAAACAGTCTTGGTATTTCTAACCGTGCTTAAAATTTACTTGAAATCCATCCTTTAGTAAACATTTCTAACACATCCATCTCCCTTTATGCCTTAAGGCCTGTCGTTGCCCTGATTGATATAGATATATTTGAAGTTGAAGCCGAAGAGAGGCAAAACATTTATAAAGAGGTGATTGCAGTTCAAGGTCCACCAGATGGGACAGTATTGGTCTCAATCAAAAGTTCTGTCCCAGAAAATAATTTTTTCGATGATGCTTTGATCGATGAGCTTCTGCAGCAGTTCACAGATTTTGGTGAAGTTATACTCATAAGGTGAGTAAAATATTTATTGCCCAAAAGCAGCTCATGACTCATAGATGTTTTCTACATTAGAAATTACCTTTCTATTGTTTGAACAGCATTTGAGTACAGTAGACCCTTGAATAATGTGGGAGTTAGGCACACTGACCGCCATGCAGTCCAAAATCCACTTAGAAGCTCTGAGTCCCCAAAGACTACCAATAGCCTACTATTGACTAGAAGCCTTACCAATAATGGAAACCGTCAACTAACACATATCTTATGTGGTATATGTCTTCTATACTTACAATAAAGTCAGCTACAGGAAGGACAATGGCGTTATGAAGTCATAAGCAAGAAGACATACATTTATGGTACTGTACTGTGTCGAGAAAAATCCATGTATAAGATGACCTGTGCAGTTCAAAACTGTGTTGTCTGAGGGTCAACTGTATTTTTATTTCCAAATTACAGGAAAGTCATACTATAGAAATGTTATTTCAAAGAGTTCATAGGTTTTGAAACTGAATTACGTTTATAGAGTTTAAAGCTGAATAGTGAAAGTTTTTATGAACAATTGATGAACAAAAAATATGTGCACTTTGGGACGCCTCGGTGGCTTAGTCGGTTAAGCGTCTGACATCGGCTCAGGTCATGATCTCACAGTTGGTGAGTTCGAGCCCTGCATTGGGCTCCGTGCTGACAGCTCAGAGCCTGGATCCTGCTTCAAATTCTGTGTCTCCCTCTCTCTCTTCCCTTTCCCCATTCACACTCTGTCTCTCTGTGTCTCTCAAAACTGAATAAACATTAAAAAAAAATTTTTTTTAAACATTTATTTATTTTTGAGACAGAGAGAGACAGAGCATGAGCAGGGGAGGGTCAGAGAGAGAGGGAGACACAGAATCGGAAACAGGCTCCAGGCTCTGAGCCGTCAGCCCAGAGCCTGATGCGGGGCTTGAACTCACAGACCGCGAGATCATGACCTGAGCCGAAGTCCGATGCTTAACCGACTGAGGCACCCATGTGCCCCTAAAAAAATTTTTTTTTTAAATATGTGCACATTTAGGTGTGGTTATATATATCATACAATGTATAACAAAGCCCTATGGCAAAATGAAGCTGTGATCACTGATTTATTTTACATATATATATATTTTTTTCAATGTTTACTTATTTTTGAGAGAGAGAGAGAGAAAGAGAATGAGAATGAGCCAGGGGTGGAACAGACAGACAGGGAGACACAGAATCAGAAGCAGGCTCCAGGCTGAGCTGTCATCACAGAGCCCGACGCAGGGCTCAAACCCACAAACCGTGAGATCATGACCTGAGCCAATGGCGGATGCCCCACTGACTGAGCCACCCAGGCGCCCCACACTGTTTTATTTTTTTAAGGAGAGTTAGGAGTAAAGCAGAGTGACTTTTCCTCCCTTAGTTTAAGAAATTTGATGTTTTAAGTAATTTTAAGTACATTTGATTTCCAACTAACAGAGAAGGCAGCACAATCAGATCAGTCAGGAGTCATCCAGTCCAGTCTTCGTTTCTGTTATTGACTTACCCATCTGCCTTTTGCAGAACCAGATGCTTCTTCCCTTGTTTAAAAAACATGTTCTTGGGGCGCCTGGGTGGCGCAGTCGGTTAAGCGTCCGACTTCAGCCAGGTCACGATCTCGCGGTCCGTGAGTTCGAGCCCCGCGTCAGGCTCTGGGCTGATGGCTCAGAGCCTGGAGCCTGTTTCCGATTCTGTGTCTCCCTCTCTCTCTGCCGCTCCCCCGTTCATGCTCTGTCTCTCTCTGTCCCAAAAATAAATAAACGTTGAAAAAAAAAAATTAAAAAAATAAATAAATAAATAAAAATAAAAAACGTGTTCTTTCCCAAGTGTCCAGCAGTTCTGAAAGACTGCGTGTGTTTGAATTTCATACAGAAGGGACTTGACTCCTTTCTGTGCTTTGCATCTACTCAGTTAGGTATGTTTTGTAGATATTTGGTGGACACATCTCTGTACTGGGTGGCCTAGTCCACAGATTGAAGATAGTGTGCTTCTGTAGAGCAAGAAGCATGCGGAAGAAACCTGGAGTCCTTTCAGAGAGTAAATGAGCAGATACAGAAGAAATTGCATTTATATTTCCCTCAGACCTTCTAACAAAGATCTACCCCAAAGCTTTAAAACAAAACAAAAAAATTTCTAAAATCCTAAGGCATTCGGAAGTATATAGTGAAATCTCCAGATTTACAGATGACAGAAAGCTTGGCCAAGTATAGAAAGCCAAGTTACCAGGAGCCTGATGTGGGCAGCCTAGGAGCAGGTAAGTGTCCTCGTGAGCAAATGCAAATTATGGAACTGGGCTAGAGAGATTAAAGGGTGAAGGACTCTGAGACAGGAAAAGGACCTGTCTTTATAATTCAGTCTTGAAGCGGGGCGTCTGGGTGGCTCAGTCAGTTGAGCATCCGACTTCGGCTCAGGTCATGATCTTACAGTCTGAGTTTGAGCCCTGTGTCCAGCTCTATGCTGACAGCTGGGAGCCTGGAGCCTGCTTCGGATTCTGTGTCTTCCTCACTCTCTGCCCCTCCCCCACTCATGCTCTGTCTCCCTCTCTGTCAAAAATCAATTAACATTAAAGAAAAAACAGTCTTGAAGGAACTTGGTGTTAAATTGGAGCCAGAAGCTTTCCCCAAAGTGCTTGTCATCTTTAGAAAAAGTATTGGTAACAAAACAAGGTATTACCCTAACATTATAAAACCATGCATGCCTCCACAGGTGGAATATTCTGGTAGTCACACACCTTCAGGCAACCAAATTAGAATAGAAAAAGCAGACAATGGAAGTACACAAGGAGAGGACTACTGTCGCCAGTAAGGCTAAATTGATCATTACCTTTTGTTCTAGAATAAGACTATGGTTTAGGAGTGACTGAAGTCCTTTATATGTAAATAAGACATTCCCTGGAAATGTGAATAGGACAAATTTAGGTATTTATATTAATTGGGGGGAAAATCTAGAAGTTTTTACCCTAGTGGGTGAAAATAGGAAGAAAATGCAGCTTCTCAAAGACCTACATATACATATGTGTGTGTGTGTATGTATATATACATATATACATACATATATATATACACACATATATATACACACACATATATATACACACACATATATATACACACACATATATATACACACACATGGATATTATATATACATGGATATTAAAACCAAAATCTCTTGTTAAGTTAAACATCCATAAGGAACACATTGCTAATTAAGGGTAGGATCAAGAAATTAGCACTGCCATATGACCACAAATGCTTTGGTACCACTATCAAAAAACAAACACAGTAGACCCCCCCCCCCCCCCCC